GGCTGCCATAAAAGCAACCGCAATCATGACGCCTGTGACGTAGATGACACCCGCGTGCAAGTATTGGGCGACGTTGGCGGTCACCTGCCACCCTTGTGTCAACTGCGCGAGTGGCGTCGCGAGGTCCGAGAGCAGCGTCATGTTGCCGACATCGCCTTGAAACGAGATGACTTCGCGGTTGCCGAGCACCCAATCATAGAGGTAGAGCCACGCAAAAAGGCAAAGTCCGATTCGGTGGGGTCGAGAAGGTTCAGGCGCTGGATCGAAAGGGGTGCCGTTGCGTTGACGTTGGTGTAGATCATAAATTCAATCTCCATGGCCCGCACGTCCACATTGGCGCTCGTTAGCGACGACGCAACGGTTGCTGGCAGCGGTAGCATGAACGCGTCAATGTAGCTCAGCGTTTGGCTCAGATATCTCTGACATTTGGAAACAAATGTCGGCTCGTGAGCGCACACTGCGCTCATGTTCCACCCTGAAGGTTGGAGGTGGAGGCCGGAAAGGAGTGCCGCAAGAATGTACTGCTGCCGCGACGGCTGGGTCTTTGACAAGACGCCTGACGATCGAAGACAGATTGCGTCAAAGGAGACGACGCTCACAAGGCCCACAGACATGGCGTACCCAGACGCAAGTGGGGGGCACATGGGGGAACCGCCAAAACTGACGAGGTTTTGTGCCAGCCATGTGCCCGGTACGGGGTAAGACGCATCCAGCGTCGATATGCCGCTGTAGAGTGCTTGGGCCTCCACGTTCTTTGAGAGAGGCGCACGCGAAGCGTCGACGAGCAATGCAAAAAGTGTGCGCACCGACGCTGGCACCGGAACATACACCATGTCAATGGACCCATATGGCCCGAGTAGCACCTGAATGAGCTGAAAGCCCGCAGAGAGCGGCGATGCGAGGGTGCCGTTCTGCACAAGAACAGCACCCAGCGTCGTGTTGGCAAAAGCAAAGTCGGGGCTGGACCGGACCAAGCTGCGACCGGCGATGCGCGACGAGTTATCGGCCACTGCCGTCAAATCGTTGGCAAAGGCCCAGTACATCTTGAAACTCGTTTGGCTCCCGAAACGGTACGTCCCGTTTTGCGACGTCAGCGTTAGCGGATACACAATGCCGTACGCATTCGTGATTGAGTAGCTGTTGAGGACGCCGAGTCGCTTGTAGTTCTGCCACTGCACCTTGTAATGCTGAATGCCATGGTGGCGCCAATACAGTGCTTCGTCCGAGAGGGAGGGTTTGACGTTGGCTTCTGTTGAGCTGCGAAGCCACGCTTTGCCAGCATCGGACCGTCGGAGCTCGGACGCGATCGCAATCTCGAACGAGGGTCCCCAGCACGAGTCGAAGGCGTCGTAGTTGATGTTGCGTACAACCGACTCGAGGTATATCGCGCCATTCGCTGTCATCGACCGACACCGAACTTCGCGCCGAGCAGAGTTGGCCAATGACCACACTTGGTCAAAGTCCACAAAGCAATATGGCGCAAAGATCCACGGTGCTTGACACGCATCCATGGCCCGCAGACCTACGATCGTGGCGGTGATGTCGCTGAGAGGCTCGTGCTGGAGGTAGGCGCCGTAGCTAACCGACGACGAGACCACGGCTTCGGGTGCCGCAAACGACTTCATCGCGTTGGCGCTCGGCTTGTCCAAAGCGAGGTTGGGCATTGTCGTGTTGCCAAGTACGAGCTGCTCGTTAAGCCAGTTGGCGATGAACGCATGAGCGCCGGTCGTGTTGAAGGTGGCCCAAAAGAGGTCGTTCGAGAGGTTGACTTCAGACACTTGGAGATACGAGATGCTGCCAACAATAGAGGCGATGATATAACCGAGGCCAAGAACTATCCAAACGTGCGCGACGCGGGCCTTCTTGGCAACGTCAGGTACAAGCATGGAGGCTCGCTTGAACAGTGAGGACTGCAGACGGCTTGACGTAACGCGCGAGATATTGCTGAGCGTCGAGGCACGGCGAGGGACGTGGCTCTGAAACGCCAAGGAAGGGCACGGGAGCATCTTGAGAAACGTGCTTGTCGAGAGCTCGTCGACCAAAATAAGCCACAGCTTCAAGTCGAACGTATACGCTTGCTTACGAAGACGAAGCGGGATCAGTCCACTGAGGATGCACGCGACGTGGTCGATCGTGTACACTTCTTCCGAACTGGTCGCGTGCGTGCACAGAAACACCTGCGAGACGCCAGACACGAGCAGCGTGTCGTCGCACCGACGTGCTGGGCGTTGGCACCAGCGCCGATGCACAATGGCGCCGAGCACGAGACTCACCTAGGCAACACCGGCTTGGATCACGACCAGTGTCCAAACGCGCGTCAAGCTCCCAACAGCAACAACGCCGCTGGTGCACGAGACGGCAAAGTCCATGTTAGTGCCAACGCATGTTCGAGCGAGCGTCGCCGTTACGCTGACTGGACTGGATAACTCGATACAAAAGAGAATCAACCACGAGAGAGAGCTCGAAATCGGACTGTAGATCTTGGTCACATCTCGCGTCACAATCAAAAGCGCTTCATTGATCACATAGGTCACCCACGTCGCCTCGCCGGTGATGATGAGCGACGCAAGCCAAGGACGTGGTGATGCCGCAAAGTGCGAGTAGCCGTGATGCGTTTCAAAGTTGACGTTGGCTGAGCTCAGCAGCAAGATGGCGGTGACGCCTCGGAGGAAGGCAAGGGGGCGGCCGATCCATACTGCGCCGACGAGGCGATTGAAAAAAAAGAGGTTGCGGCCCAGAAAGCGTAGGCGGACAAGACCCGCATAGACAAGCGACAAGAAGCCGACGAAGACCAGCACCGCCGACGTTACGACGATGAGGTAGAAGAGAATTTTGGTTGCTGTCTGGAGTGGCTGCGTCCCCGTCGAGTACAACTGCCGCGCGTACACGTTTGAAATGAGTGTGGCATTGCCAGCATCACCTTGGAACGAGACGACTTCGCGACTACCAGCGGCCCAATCGAGCAGCAAGATCCAGCCAAAAAAGTCAAAGGTCGAAGCTTCCAGAAGCGGTTGCTGGAGCAGCGTCCAAGTTCCATTGGCCGACGTTGCGAATTGCATGAGGCCGACACGCGTCTGTTGAACGGCCGTGGTAGTTTGAATGACGCTAGCAGTAAGGTCGCTTGAAAACGTCAGCTGCTCGAGGAGATTGCCGGCGGCCGAGAGGCTGGTGAGGCAGTCGGTCGTCGGTGTCGCCATCGCACAGACACTCGCTGATGCCTCGGCAGTGGCGAGTAGCGCAAAAAGACTGGCACTTGCCGTTACCGGAACTTGCAGCGACAATGCTTTGGAGCAGTCGTCAAAGAAGCCAAACGACTCTTGTGGAAACAACGTCCCGGGCTGTAGCGTGCACATGGGGTTCCCGCCATAAAACATTGAGGCGCTTTTCCACGCTGGCGGCAAAGGCGCGAGGGTGGTCGTCCAAATACTGGTCAGCTTGGTGAGGCGCCCGGCGTCCATTTGACCGAACAACGCATCTTGAAACTCAGTGTACGTCGCCGCCAGCGCTGTAGGCACAGCAACATACATGGAATCGATGCTAAGAAAAGGCCCGATGTGGTTGCGCACAACCGCCGCTTGGTGCACGAAGTTGCCACCGACGTTGGTGTTGCCGTTGAAGACCTCGAGATCGATCGCAGGCATGGACGTACTGACGTTGGCGCCAAAGTACGTTAAAGTACCACGAATGAAGCTTCGGTCCATGCCTTGGCCATTCCAGAGGTCGTTGAGCGGGATCCAGAAAAAGTTTTGGGACGTCCACGGTCCCGTACCCCGGGGCAAGTTCTTCAACGTCACAAGCTGGCGTAGGCCCAGCGCGTTTTCCAGCTCGATCGACTCGGTCACGCCAGCCTGCCACCGGTTTTGCCACTGCGCCGTGAACGACGTCAAGCCAAACGTCCTCCAGTACGCGAGCTCGTCGTCGATCGTCGTCGATGCCCGCGCCGCTGCCATCGCACCCAGGAAGGCGCGACCGCGCGGCGTCTCTTGCAGTGGGAGCTGGAGGGACACTGTAAATGGCGCATTGTCGCCGCCCCAAATAGCCAGGTAGTCGGCCCACACGACATTGCGCAGAATCGCCTCCATGTACACGCCCGCGTTCGTCGCGTAGTGCACAAGGCAGCGCTGCTGCCGCTTGGTCGTGTGCGCGACCTCGAACGCGCGCTCAAAGTCCACCCAGCAGTGCTGAACGTTGACACGCATCGACCAGCTCGCGCTCAGCTGGCGCAGCCGCGGCACAGCGTACTCGATCGACGTGAGCTCGTTGAAGATGACGTGGCGGGCGTACGTGGGCGGGACGTTGGTGTATGAGACGGGGGACGCATACGTCTTTTGAATCATCGCACTTGGTGCATAAATGCTGAGCGAGGTCGCGGCGGTCGTGGAGAGAACGGCGTTGACAAGGTCGACGAGAAAGGCTTCGTGGCCCGTGAGGTTGAAGCCTGCCCACCAAAGGTCGTTGACGAAGCTCGGCTGAAGCGTGTAGACGTACCAGACGCCGCATGCCAGCGAAATGAAGAGGTAGCAAAGCCCAAGAATTGCCTCGGCCAGTTGCTTGTTCGAGAAGCTTGTAGACTCGGGAAGGTGACGCGACTGCCGCAAATCGTGCTCCAAAGGTGC